GCTTCAATTTTAGAAAATTTGTAGTGATTTGCAGGCTCATCCATCGCATTAATTATTAAATATTATTTAAATGTTAATAAAGTAAAACAAATAATGAAGTTACACAAGTTTTATTTTTTTTAAATCTCTTACGAATAGTCATACTTAGGGTAGGGCGCCGTGGAAAAATTGTAATTGAAAAAGGGCGCCGCGACTAGGAAAAGTTTGGGAACACTGTCCTAAACTATTTACAAGTCGTGTTTTAAAGGTTATTAATTCGTTTTCAAGAAATAATGATCGTCCCTAAACCTGCTACTTTGGGAAGGATCATGGGAAATTATTGTGTAAATCTTACTTTAAACTTGTGTATAGAGTTGTATTGGAGCAGACTCGAGACCGGAGCCTCCACACATCCGGCGAGGCCAGGTTAGACTTGAGCATATACGCAAGCAAAATTGTGTCTGGTACGAAAATGAAATACTTCAGATAACATGAGACCTATGATGCTATGTATCTATACTTTGTTGATTGTCTCCTAGTTATCAGACAGACTTCGCCACCTGTTATTGACATGATAATCATCTTTATTCCTTTTCGGGAATTGAAAGTTGTACTATGGATTGTAAGTTTAGAGAAAGCGCTTCAGCTGATGGGGAAATAATCATCAGTACCTGAGGCACTAATCAATATTGCAGTGATTTCCTTTCATGCTAAAGAATTTCTCTTCAGAAGGTGATGACGGCGCACAAGATACCTCCTGATTCGTAGGCAGCTTGAGGCCGTTTAGTTCCGGCTATGATGAGGTCTGTCAAGTTATAAAACAGACATAGAATCAGTAGATTTTTACAGGAACCGAAGAGTATTGCTTCAGCGTGTAGGTTGCAGCGTAAAATTATCTTCGTATTTTGGTGTGATCTGTCTATGAATTCCCTTACTCACACACTCTCACGTAGGGTGAAATTCTGCTCTTCAATATATATATATATATATATAGTTATATAAATAACAATTATCTCATGTCCATTTATAAATGCATGCATCGTTTCGTTTTAAGTATATCTATACCTATATGTGTGTATGCATTTATGTATGTTCATGTATTAAATATATCCATATGTGTATTTATTAACTTAGATATATATTGAAGATATGAACAACAAGATGATGTGACCCTCAGTATAGTTAAAGTGACCACAAGACCAAGTTGCGTAAACGAGCTAAACCCACTTTTTTACATGTATACGTAGATAGATATCAGTGTATATAAATATATATATATATATAATATATTATCATACGCATGTACATACAGATATGTATATACATATACATGTAAAAAAGTGGGTTGATCTCATTTTTGAAAATTTGTGTTATCAATGCAACCATACCGAGGGCCATATATGTATATAAATAAATAAATAGATAAATAAATAAATAAATAAATATTTAGTTATTCTAAATCTATCTATGTATACATATATTTTTTCGTTTTTAGTTTTGAGCATATATGGCTGTAGGATAGAGCAGGATAGTTTTCTTGACTTGGAGTTAACTTGAGACTTTTGTAAGGATGAGTTTCAACTCTAACAATAACTGTCATGTTCTATGATGGACAAATGCTTGGTTTTTCTTCTCTTGATACGAGGCAAGATGCCGCGTAGACTCTAGCCAAATGGCTAGAGAACCACAAGATTCATCCGTTTTTTTCTGGTGAAATCGACCTACGAATATCGTCATCAAGAACACTTTCATATGAACCGAAAGTCTCCACAACATTACGCTTATTTTGACATTTCAATTTCGCTAAATTCCAGCTTCCCGATAGTACCAAATCCTCTTGGCCTCAAGTACCCACCTTTATTTCGCTGTATATTCCGCTAATCTCTACACTCGACTCTCCGAAGCTAACTGCCGTGTTGCGAGTGCTTTGGCAGACCCAGCTCCATTTGATTGCCATTTATGCCATTCAACAGCGGCCGCTCGTTCAACGCATCTCCCTGTCCTCTCCGTCTAGGACAGGCTTTGTGCCAGCTCTGTCCAAGACTTAGGTTGTATGCGCTTTGATCGGTTTCAGCTGTTACTTGCTCTCCTTACCAGGCCTGATGCAGAGGGCACGCAATCTATGCTTCTAATCCAGCCATCACTAGATTTTTACGCTTTCCAGACTGTTAAAAGTGCCGTCCTCTCTGTCCCAACATTGAGCCGCAGTATTATACAACAAAAGGATAAGTGAATGCCATCCTGCAAATGTAAGCGAATTTATGGTCTATTCGTGGCCGTAAATGTACCAGACATTGGATGCTTCTTGAATCCCCATCCCAGCTTTGTTCAATCCTACTTTCCTTCTCTCTTTTGCACCAAAACGCCCAGTAGACCAGTTTCATACTGACAATACGCATCGTAGACTCAGCCATCCAGACTGCCTCAGAGACAAGCTGTCTCTGGGCCGAAGGGATTATTTGCGGTGTCAATACACGCAGAATGGTTGTCACGCCTTTGTTGTTGAGGTGGGCACAAGCCTGTGCCTTAGCCGACGATCTCGAGGGCCATTCAACCCCTTCAGAAGGCGGTCGAACTAAAGGCCCAGGCGTACTGGAGCGATACCGCATTCAACCGATGGCCAGACCGATTTCACATCGAGCACAGACATTGACCTAAAACCATACAGAATACTTGCATCTGGGTCGGCCTTTCCGCGTCGTTGTGGAGACCGTTACTCGATACAACAGCGCCGAATTAAAATATTCCGTAGGCCAATCTGACCGGAAAAGAACGATTGAGCCGGTCGTTATAGAATTGTTAAATTTTGCTACAGCTTTCAGGATGACGTAGTCCACCACTCAATTCTCCTCATTTCGAGGCAAAACGGGCTCACAAAAGTAAATTTAATTGAATTAGATTAAATTAAAAAAGTATAGATATTGATAGCTAAATAGATAGATATAGAATGGTTTGATTTATTTCTATTCATATTAATCTACATATTTCTACCTTTGAGTATTTGTATCTGTCTTTGTATATGCAAATCTATTACGGTTGTTTCGTACATATGTAATGGAAGTCTTCACAACACTGTTATCTCTGGAGACTCTTTGAGATACAACTCGTAGATACTTCAAGTTCTACGTTAAAAATGACTTTTAGTCATAAACAAACCTCTATGTAGATATGAAAAAAATTTAGATTTCCAAAAATTGCACAGTTATTTACTGTGACATGGTTCTCCATGTTGAAGGAAAAGTTGGTTGGAATGAATTCGTGGAACGGTCTCACCGGAAACCGTAGGAGGATTGCCGCGCAGTAACGATAGGTTAGGATTGTGCTAAGAAGTCCTCGACTCATGGCCCTCGGACCCCGATTAACCTGTTCTAAGCTTTCGTCTGTACCATCGTGACAGACATCATTAGAGCAAGAATACGTACTTTACAAAATTATCTCTATTAACTTAATAATAAGTCAATGAGGCTCGTAGGCTCTTCCTCAAATTCTATATGCTTATGCGACATATACAAAATGAATTGAATATATTTAGATACAGACGAACATATATATAATGATTAGGATAATCCCTTTTAATAGCAATCTAAGTAATTGCCATTTTGAGTGTGTGGGTGTTTGTGCACTTGGATGAACCAGGCTTAGTAACTACCATTTCCAGATTCATAAAGGATTGATGGACAAGAAAAAGCATTGCGATTGCTTAATCCCAACGTATGTATGCTTGAGTTGCTAAGTTAAACATATGCCTACTACTTATGTGAATATATATTAGAGGCATCATCAAGCCAAGGTGTTAAGCCGTCTCCTCCTTTCTGTAGGGTCAACACACTCTATCTCTCTTGTTTCTTAAATCTATCACTCAAGTATGTGCTGTTCTTAGCGAACTTTCTACCTTCATTGCATGCAACAAAAGTATTCAACAATCTATGCATTTTACACAGTTTCTCTTATCTTGCGTTTACCAGCAGCATTAGAGACCTTTTTTGTTCGTGTTCATTTTCTACCCTGAGCCAGTTTCCAAAACATTACTTTTTGTGTTTGGCCCAGTTTTGGCGAATAGACAACAGACCTGACTAACGCAGGAGTGACCACGTGAACACCAAATTTGGTAGCAGCCGGGTCTTGATAATGAATAAAATGTTTAGTAAAATGTGGGCATAAACGAAGGTGGCTTCAGGATTTCTTTGAAAGCTGTTTTTTATCACTCCCCCTAACCTATCGCTACTATTCGCCTATCTATTCAGAAATATAGCAGTGCGATAAGGTTAGGAAAGAAGAAGACGCTTTCGACTATTGTCAAAAAATGCATTTCGTTTTGCAGAGATATTATCTCCAAGTCGGCCGAAAGTATAAATATCGTCAGGACCCAACTGCTTCGGCCTATCGAGCTCGGTAACTAAGTTGCTTCTCCAATCAAATGTCCCAATTTTTAACTATGATTATAAAGATAATTCAGAATAGACATAGCATATGTTGATTTCTATCAACATGTCTGCCAAAATAGCATCTGCCTTAATAATTACAGCATTCAACAGAGGTAAAGCATAATGCTTTTTCCTTCTATTGCAAACGTAAGTTAACTTTTGCACTCATCAAGCAAAACTGGAAAGTTATTTGTATGAGAGGTATTCACTCTATTTTGTTTAAGGTGATGAAGGACTGGAAAGAAATGGAAATTTCAGCTCTTCACATATTATTGTAGGAAAATTCTACTACCAGTCCTTCATCATCTTAAACGAAATAGGGTGAATATATTTTATATTACTGATTTGCTGGTAGACTCGAAACTCCACTGGCATACGAAAAATACAGTAATGTCGTCGATTGTTATAGCAAATATACGTTTGCTTTATCGACAATCCCACCAAAGAATGTGATATGGGAAAATGTCTGGCCTTCCTTGAAATTCACATCTGCCCTGTGACCCAAGGGTACTAATGGCAATGTGGCCTAATGGGTGAAGTGTCAAGTTCATATTTTGCACTGTCAGGGTTCGACTCCCGCTGGGGTTGTTGATACTGACTATGCGAGGTCGAAACTACAGTCCACTCCAGCCAGGATAAGAACAACTTTTAGGAAAGCAAGGCTATGTCAAATTCAATGGAAACGTCAGCTCTACTCATATCATTATGGGAAAATTCGACTATCAGTTCTTCATCATCTTAAACAAAATCGGGTGAATACATCTCATATTACTGATTTACTGGTAATCTTGATACTCTACTTATATATGGAAAGTTAATTAACTTATCTCAAAGTTGCTTCAAATTAACGAAACAGTATTTAGAATAAGTAGATTTTAAAACTATTTCCCGGCCTGGAGCATGAGCTGCTTCAAATGTCGGTCGCAACAGCTGTTTAGGGCTAAAAACGGAACTTTTCCAAATCGCATCTAATCACATGATAGATGTAATTTTCCCACATCAAAGTCCATCCTTGATGTGAGTACTGTTTTGGAGGAAGGGATATGTTAAAGTTAATATAAACGTGAGGCCTACAATAGGCTCCATTACTTATATTGGTATTTTGTAGGCTTCGAATCTACCTGTAGATTTTAATAAAAAAACATGACTATGTAAAAATTCAACAATCATTTCCTTATCACCCTATGCGATCTATGATGAATATGGCTTTTATTCAAGCTTTGATCTTCCCTGGATCTGATCAAAATGCCGAACTGGGTTCGAAACCGAATTGTGGCCAGCTTGGGAGAAAATGTCACCAATCTTCTGCATAGCCACAAGTGCCAATGGATAGAAGGCAATGTGAATATCGAAGCAAACAAAATTCACTGGAGAATTTTCGATATTAAAAAACCCATTCTTCAGTTAAACCGGCAAACCTAGTTGTATTCGATGTGAATTTTTCCCTAAACTATGCATAAGCAATTTTGCAATTGCAGTCAAGCCTAAATGAGAACACATTTTGAGAGGCAAGGGGAAGTTAAGTTGAATGGCATCTTATTATTTTTGTAAAAAATCCCATCAACTAATTTAGAGTGATTTGGTCTTAACATCAATAAAGATCACAAAGTCTTTTATTCTATCTTACCTGAATGATAAACTTGAAAAATGCTGGAAATTACGGAGACTATGGCAGAAGACACGGGGCTAGATACGTTCTTTAAGGTCTCCCTGACGCTCCGACCAAGTTGCGAAAACGAGGTCTAACCAACATTTAAAAATGCCAGTCTATTTTGTTTATAATCTCCTTCTTTGCTGAATATAATTAGTCAAGTGGTAGAAATCACTTATTTCTTTGTCAGAGCTAGCAAAACTCAATGATGTTGCTGACTGGACGCATGCGAAGCATCTGGGAATATATAAAGTCAACTGACTAATGCTGGAACTTATGGCAGACTGTTGGGGTTAACGCTATTAAACTTTTTCCTGAGATAATGATCATGTAGTGTAAACAAGATAAAATACTGTCAATTTGTCAATACCTTGTATACTTTGTTGTATGGATTTTCAGTTCGTGGGTAGATTTGTTCAGCAGACAACGGCTGATTTTTGTTGATTTACAGCCCTTTAGCTTTGATACTAGCTTCAGATTGGCGTAGTCCACGATACCTCCCTCGCTTCGTGTGAAAATGGGCTAAACTTTCTTCCGTCACGCCATATGACAGGCATCGTAGGAGATGGAAATTATTCCTGAAATAGCTTCAAGTCGATACTCGGCCAGGAAGACCTTTCGTCTCTCACATATATGCCATATCTACTCTAATAAAGACGATAAGGACG